AAAATGGTAATACATCATGACCAAGTTGTGTGTATCTCAAAAATGCATGGTTGAGTTGACATTTGCAAATTAATTTATGAAATTCATCACATTAACATCATAAAGGAGAAAAGCTATATAATCATCTCCACAGAGGCAGTAAACAGAAATAATAAATCTTTAGAAAAATAACAAGAAAGCATGTCACAATTTAAAGTCATGAGCTTCTAGTTTGAAAGGATTCACTGAGTATAACATAACGAATGAAAAAAAAAACCCTGATTCTAAAACACATTATTGTAAAATTTCAAATGAGAAAGGAAAAGGAGAACATCCTCAAAGCTTCCAGAGAGAGCCAAAAAGTCATATAATAAAGGAGCAGGAATCTAAAGGTGGAGAAGAGAGTCAGCAAAAAAAAAAGAATCAGAACAGATCTGGGGTTTCTCAACACGACTTAATGCTAGAAGAGAACAAAGCCTTCAAAATGTTAACTCAAAACTTTTTTGCAACCTAGAATAACAATCTATCAATGAAACTCTCAATCAGGTACATGTCAGGTGAATAAAAATGTTCTTGTATATCCTAAAAACCATTTCCTCTGTACCCATTTCGCAAAAATATGCTGAATGGTTTGGTTTGTTGTGTTTTTTTTTTCACCAAAACAAGGAACTATATCAACAAAGATTTTTAAAATATGGCAACCAGAGGACAGGAGAGGAAGGCAAGAAGAATCCCCAGCATGAAGGGGAAGGACATTCTCCAGACAGCAGCTGTGCAGCTCTAGCGAATGACCAGACCAGTTTGTAGAAGAAAGATGGAAAAACTAATTGAGATGTTTTCAAGAAAACAACATGGAATTGACACATACAGTACATGATTTCTTTAAGCATTGTATTATTTATACTTTTAATTTTTTTGAAAATTATGATTTTTAACATTTTTAAGACCTTTCTGGTGAGGAGAGACTGTACCTTCAAGATTAGCCAGTTCTGGCTGGGTGTGGTGCCTCACTCCTATAATCCCAGCATTTGGGAGCCCAAGGTGGGTGGCTCACTTGAGATCAGAAGTTCGAGACCAGCCTGACCAACGTGTAAAACCCTGTTTATACTAAATTCAACAACAACAACAAATTAACCATGCGTCATGGCACATGCCTTTAATCCCAGCTACTTGGGAGGCTAAGGCAGGACAATCGCTTGAACCTGGGAGGTGGAGGTTGCATTGAGCCAAGATGGCACCACAGAGCATGACTCCATCTCAAAAAAAAAAAAAAAAAACTAGCCAATTCTTAGAGATAGCAAAGGGTTCAGCATGCCTTCTATACGCAAACTAACCAAGACTGAGCCCTGCCCCTTCTGCCTGACCTCTACAACCCAGGAAGCAAAGTTCTCTGCCTTAGTCATCCCAGGGTCAGGTACTAGGCACTAAGGATCTTGTCTAGTGTTTACAGCTTGCAGAAATTATTCAAACTAGCCAGTCCCAAACTATTTACCCCGTCTTGTCTTTCCTGAGGCACTGACCTGGCACCTTCGGTCTCCAGAGGACACTGGAGCCTCCCAATGTGGCCCCACATGGCCCCACTATAAAACTGGAGCAACAGGTAAAAAAAAAAAGTTAAAAGAAATGCAAGCAGTTGCCTCTATGGAGAGGGGAAAGACAAGGCAGGGGTCTACTGTCTACTGTTGTGGGGGATTGTTTTGTCTTGTACTTACAGTTCATTACTTTCAAAGCATTATTTAACTTTTGAAACTATGTAGGTGTGTTGCTTTGATTTTAACAAAAAATCACTCCCTTTGTAATGACAATTCAATAGTTTGTATAATCTTTAATTCAATTACTTAGTTCAGTCACAAGGACAGCACAAACAGGTTTGGGAACAACTGATTCTTAAAAATGGACCACTTGGCAGGGCGCAGTGGCTCACGGCTGTAATTCCAGCACTTTGGGAGGCCAAGGAGGGTGGATCACCTCAGGTCAGGAGTTCAAGACCAGCCTAGGCAACACGGCGAAACCCTGTCTCTACAAAAATACAAAAATTAGCTAGGCATTATGGTAGGTGCCTATAATCCCAGCTACTCAGGAAGCTGAGGTGAGAGAATAGCTTGAACCCGGGAGGCAGAGGTTACAGTGAGCCAAGGTCACACCACTGCACTCCAGCCTGGGTGACATAGCGAGAAGTCATCTCAAAAAAAAAGGAAAAAAAAGGACCACTTAGGTGGAGGTATGAGGGCTCACTAGAGAGAAGCTTCACAGCTGTGCACATTCTGCGTGTCAAGGGCTTTGGTCTTATGTTTTACAGAAGGAATCTAGAGCACTGGTTAATCTGGTGAATCGTTTAAATTGAGGGTGGTTAATAGGGCTCCTGCTGTAATTAATCCAGATAATAAAAGAGGATGAAATAAAACAGCCTTAATCCATCTACTTTTGCTACGCTGTCCTTTTCCCATGGGTTAGACAGAAGAAATACTACAAGGAACAGAGCTCAAGATCATCCTTCTCAGGGTCATTCAATTCGCCCTGAAATATTAACCCTCTTGAGGGAACTCTGGAAATGAGGATAAATTAAAGTCCTTCTGAAGGGCAGGCTATCTTATATATCCTTTGGCTTAATCCACAAAATGAGTCGGAAAGGTGGCAAAAGAGATAACAAAGCAAAATCTGCCTTTTGTACCATGATGGACCTGATTTAATTTCAGTAACTAGATTTATTCCATTATTGCCTCCATCTCCTTTGCGGTTTGGGTAACTACTAAGCACCAAACCTGTAAGCACTGCAAGAGAAAATTCACAGCCAAGAGTTCAAAATAGGACCTGAGACACGGTCTCCTGTGTCCGTGCTGAGGAGGCTTGTGGCAAATCTTAGTCTCAAAGCCACCATCTTACCTGCTGCCGTCAATGAAGCCTTGAGGTTTTGAGAACTTTAGGTTGCTAATTACTAGACAAATAGAGAAGGATATATACAGCTACAATTTCAACAAATCAGTCAACCGCTGATCTCTTTGCTGTGCTATTTTGAGCAATCATTTACAAATATATTGCTGAGTAAGGGGAATCTGTTTCTTGCTCTTTTACTTGGACTAGAAAAATTAGATCCATCAAGCTCTATCACTTGCCGAGCCCACAGGGCTGTGACAGCTCTTCCTGACAATAAATTGTCAAATTTCCTTCACAGCTGAAACTAGAAAACCAAGTGAGGCAGAAATTGGCTTTTAACATAGAGCTATTAAATGATTTTAGCTTTTGCTATGCTCTGAATGTTTATTTCCGTCCCCCACCCGGCCCCAAAATGCATTTGTTGAAATCCTGACGCCCAAAGTGATGTATTAGATGGTGGGACCTTGTGGGAAGTGATGAGATCATGGAGGTGAGGCTGCCCACAAGTGTCCTTCTAAAAGAGACCCAAGAGGGCACTTTAGACCTTTCTACCATGTGGGGACATAGTGAGAAGGTGCCACCTGTGAACCAGAAAGCAGGTCCTCACCAGATACTAAATCTGCCAGTGCCTTGATCTTGGAATGCCCAGCCACCAGAGCTGTGAAAATCAATTTCTGTTGTTTATAAATTATTTAGTCTAACGTATCCTGTTACAGCAGCCCAAACTGACTAAGAAACTATTCCATATGTGAATTCAGCTGGGAGGAGCAATTTGGCCCCTTCATGGCCTTTGCAAATCAACTCAAAACAAGTATCATCTTTATTTTTCAGAAGCCCTTAGGCTACTTTCTTCCTTGGAGTCAGTAACTCATGGAGTGTGACTCTGGCCCAGACACATAAACATCCCCTTTGTTGAGTTTCATAAAGAATTCTAGGCCAGCATGGTGACTCACGCATGTAATCCCAACACTTTGGGAGGTCGAATTGGGTGGATTGCTTGAGCTCAGGAGTTTGAAACCAGCTTTGGTAAGGTGGGAAAATCCCATCTCTATAAAAAGTACAGAAATTAGTTTGGCATGGTGGCATGCGCCTGTAGTCCCACATACTTGGGGAGGGAATGGGGGTGAGGCTGGAAGATCACTTGAGCCCAAGAGGTTGAAGCTGTAGTGGGCGAGATTGCACCACTGCACACCAGCTTAGGCAACAGAGTGAGACCCTGTCTGAAAAAAAAGGAAAGACTTCTTCCCCATTGTATGGCCACATCACTAATATCTGGTCTCCGCCTCTGGCGGTTGTCAAGTGCAAGATCCATCAGCACTTGTTCTCAGCACTGTTCTTGGTGGGCCTGAACTGTTCATCTGAGATGGAAACCCTGATTTTTCAAAACCATCATTATCTGAACCAAGAGAAGCCTGTGACAGTTTACTCCTCCTCTTATTTCAGGCCCGATCTGTTCTTTAGATGGGAAAACCTGATTGTTTTAACACCATTATTATTTGAACCCAAGAGAAGCCTGCGAGAATTTCCTCCTCTTATTTCAGGCCACCTTACTCTTCATGTTGTAGTACACAGATTAGAAATCTTGAAAGTAACGGCAAAAACACAATTACGTTTGCACCAACCTAACAGAAGTGATCTGCGTCTATGCTTTTCATAGATAACCATTCCTGTCACCTTGGATATGCTGGATGTCTTCCTTATCTTGTTTTTCATCCTCCTCCACAACTCCTACCTTCCCAACAATAATTTTTTTTTTTTGAGATAGGGTCTCAGTCTGTCATCTAGATTGGAGTTCAGTGGCATGATTTTAGCTCACAACAACCTCAGCCTCCTAGGCTCAAGCAATCCTCCCACCTCAGTCTCCTGAGCAGCTGGAACCACAGGCATGCACCGCCATGCCTGGCTAATTTTTTTTTATTTTTGGTAGAGTTGGGTTTCACCATGTAGCCCAGGCTTGTCTTAAACTACTGAACCCAAGTGATCACCCACCTCAGTCCCCCAAAGTGCTGGGATTATAGGCATGAGCCTCCATCAACAGTTTTGAGGTTTATTACACAATGAGGAAGACTGATGAGTTACTGAATGTTTTTCTAACTGGATTCCACATCTTCTCAAGTCCTGCTAAACCAGGGGCCCCAGAGAGGTACCTCAGTGTCAGAGCAGTTGCCATTCAGAGCCTCGATGTTTGGATCCCTCCAGTCTTCTGAGAGTGAAGGGATGTAATTGTCTGTCAGAGCATCCCAAACCCTGTAAACAAAGAGAAGCTCTCATTAACACACATCTGTGGCCTGGCCCCGCCTGGAGGAAGGAAGAGCTGGGCTGGGAGAGGAGAGAGGCTTCTGTGTGTGCCAGGCTGAGATCATCTGCCTTCCAGCATGCAGTGGCAAAGCAGCTTAACAACTGAGTCAGAGGCACATACAGGGAAGAAAGAGCATGGAGCCTGGCCAGGGGCTTCAGTGTGAAAGGTGTTTGCTTTAGGAAAGAGGAATTTCCTACCGTTGAGATACAAATGGCAGTGTCTATAATCAAACTGCCTCTGACCCTGAAAATAAATCTGCCCCTCATCCAAATAGCTCACATTTGAGATGCCCATGTTTCTTTTCCTGTGAGCAGAGAGAGACAGACAGAGAAAGGGAGAGAGAGAAAGAGAGGAGCTAGAGACAGAGAGATTTGGACAGATTTTTCTGGCTGAATCTCATTAAGATCAGGATCATTATCTAGTTTATAACCGTTTCAGTTTCAGAGGCCTGCAATCTACATGATCAGGAATTCCCTCCTTGACATCTGATGTAGGTAAGGGAGTAATCCCAATGCTGTGAGTGCTTACTCACTATCCAAAATGTTCTGTCAAACCCATGGGCTGCAAGATTCTGCCCGCTAGCGATGCAGAATCTAAAGCCTGCATTGTGTCATTCCAACATCACGGACACTCTAAGGTAAATACCATATATAAAAGAAACCAATAAATACACCTCTGTCTACACAATTTGTGTTTAGTGGGGAAAGATGGAGCTACATTTATTACATTTCTTTTTAAAATTCTGATATGTACATTATAAGAAAGGACTTCTACAATTCTTATTCCTTATTTCAGAAAGATTTCTTAGGGAAAAATGGGAGGGAGGGTGGGGAAAATTCTAAAGTCACAAACACACATCAGGAAAATACATAAATTATTCAATACCAAGAGATTAATGTAAATCAGTAAACAACGCCCTTAAGATAATAACTGCCAAGGAAGCCAGTGGCACCTGAGTTAATATTAATAAGGCCGGTGCGGGTAGCAAATGCCTATAATACCAGCACTTTGGAAGGCCAAGATGAGCAGATCACTTGACTCCAGAAATTCAAGACCAGACTGGCCGACATGGTAAAACTCTATCTCTACAAAAAATACAAAAATTAGCCAGGCATGGTGGCATGGGCCTGTAGTCCCAGCTACTCATAAGGGTTGAAGTGGGAGGATAGCCTGAGCCGTGGGAAGACCCTTAGGAAGTCAAGGTTGCAGTGAGCCATGATTGTGCCACTCCAGCCTGGGCGACAGAGCAAGAGCCTGTCTTAAAAAAAAAGTAAAATAATGGTAATGATAAAATAGCACTCTATGCAGCAATCTCCTTCAGGTCCCTATGCATGTCAAACACAAATGAGACCTGTGAGAGCAAGATTTTAAAAATAAGCAAATATGTATATATACACCAGCACACAGACACTTGAAATCAGAAAGTAATGAGGGCGCAATTAACTAAACAAAATGCCCATATATCACGTCACATTCCTGATTTTATGTCAAGAATGCCACATGATAGATGCGTGTATAAGTAGAGATTTTCTTAGTGCACAATGCATATAATTGGTGATGGAACAAATAAAAGGAACCCAAGAAAACACAATTTAATGGCAGTGCTAGAGGCATCTGCTTATTCATTATTTTTCTACCATTACAAGAAAACCTTTTGGAGAGAACTCATCAAGTACTCATTAGCCATCTACGCAGCAGGATTTCAGAGCAGACTTCTTAAACCATGGGTGATATCCTAATCTCCATCAGGCACTATTAGAACTGCATTAATCCAGGCTAATTCTAAATCCAAGTACCATTAGCATTCTAGAGCCAAGAAGTAAATAGGATTTTCTTTCTCCAAGACAAAACTCCGAGGCACTGCACCCGCTGGAAAGGTCACTGTAGGACTACTTTTTACATCACTGCTTTACATTCTCTGCTGCAAGAATGAACATGCATACTAGGCACTGACCTTCAGATTTGTCCCTACAGAAAGTGCCTGCAGAAAGGAAATTCAGCAAAGCCCAAAATAGGCAGGAGCCTTTTGTATATCACCCAGGCTGGAGGGAAGCTGAGAACTTTAGCAAACTACACACTTTCCAATGACTTTGAGACTATTTACATCCTTAGAGTGATAAGCAGGGGCTCTCTTGGGACCATTTCGAGTGCAGATCTGAGCCTTTGCTGATAAGCTCTGAATTTTGTCTTCTAATTCTAGATTTTTAGAGACAATTCCCTAAACTTTTATCTTTTCAGCATTTCAAACCATTCTCGTTCTCTTTCATATTTTGTCCAGGTTTCCTTTTTCCTTACTGACATACTTTTTATCCTTTGAAGTTTATAAACAACCTTTAAGATAAAGCAGCTTTCATCTCCTTATAATCATTTGCATATCCTTTCCATATTTATCCACTGCCTGTTTAGCAATAACAATAGCAGCCAAAATTGCTGAGCACTTACTATGAACCACGTACTACACTAAACTGGATTCTAAACGTGGATTGATTCATACATTCTTCACAACAATTATGCAAGGCAGATACTAATGAGGAAAAAATTGAAACAGCGAAATTAATTCATTTGTCTCAGTTCACACTGCCAGTAATGGCAAAGATGGGATTTGAACTCAGGCAGCACAGCTACAGAGCCCATATTCCTAACCACTTAATAATTACAACTCTTTATGAATTATGTAATTGGCATCGGCATGGGCATCAGAATAATATACCAAGTTCCTAATCATAACCTAGAAGACCAGTTTAGAAACTGGCTCTACTTGAAAAACCCACACCTACAATGATTCTGGACATGGTGCTTTCATGGATCTACAGAAAAAGGAATGGCAAAGGTAGCAGGGGTCAACGACCACTTTCTATGTAGATCTCCAGCCCAGGGAGGGGCACAAGGAAGGCACAGGCAGAACGCTGGCAGCCAGCAGCCTCAGCCACAGAGGAGCCGAGGCAGCCAGGGCGGGGTCGGGGGATGGGGGTTGGAGGTGTGAGGAACAAAGTTTTCTATGGCGAAGAGAATTGGAAGGACTGTCTATCCCATCATCTATCCCATCATAAGCAGGGTTCTTGGGAGTGTGCATCCCCGCTTTTGTAAGTGCCCGGAGGTGGACTGTAAAGTTTTACTTTCCTGAGAAGCATCCTGCTATTTACTCTTACCTTGGGGAAAGAAGACTTTGAAAGCTGTCTCCTCTATCATTCACCAAAGAACTAAGATTAAGCAGGTTGCCTCAGTTCCTATCATTATGGTGCCATGACACCTGAGATTCAATTTGCTGTCTCCATCCCTATATAACAGAAAAGACTTTTTCAGGTGCGTATTTTATAGCTTGGGCTTAGATGCCTGTAGAATTGACTTAAGTATCTTTCGCCACAGAGAGCAGGAGCTTTGGGAAAGGCTGCTGGCAGAGTATGAGCAAACCCAGTGGAGTAGGGTGGAGACTGGGGGGTGCCAGGACATGTGTACAAAGAGCTGCAGGGCCTGGAACTGGCAACATAGCCAACAGGGCTCTATCAGTCCTGACACACACGCAAACCCTTAAATACCTATTTCTGACAATATAGCAGGCAGCTTAAGGGGATTATTAAAATTCTAGCTTGCTGACATTTCCCTCAAGGCTGGCTACTTCCCTTGTCTAGTGTTTTGCTGGTGTCCAGTCATGCCTATCCACACTCAAATGTCTATTAATTTGAGTACATTTTTGCACTTCAAGTTGAGAAAGTAGAAATTATTAGCAGCACATTAATGCCTTTGCTCAACTTTCTAGATGTCTTCAAATGTTTAAATAGAATTAAATTTTCTAAAAATCCCAGTTACATGTAGCTTTCCCTAGCTGACTATTTGGTATTTACTTGTGTTCAACATCTCATGACAGGCAGTTTATCGTGTGCACTTTATTTTTAACATCACCTTTAACAATTCTCTGTGAAGAACAGGAAACAGCCATTGCATGTTTGGCCCCTCTGTCTGCAGGGTACTTGTAAGAGGGTAGATAGAGATCCCCAGTGAGGCAGGAGGTAAGCTAAGGGCCGTCCATTTCCATTTCCATTTTGTAGTGGCCTCTAAGAGGCTGACCTCCCGGCCCAATCTCTTATAGCAAAGGAAGACGGTGATCACATATAGCAAAGAAAAGATTCTGGGATATTTCCTAAATTCAAAACCAAAAAGCATGTATTCAAATCTGACTCCCCTTTAATGCCTAGAACTTCCATGCCCTGACAAATCAGAGAAAAGTTGACAAATCTTAGCCAACTCCCCTTTTGGCTAAATAGTTCCAGATGAAGACTAAAGAAAAGAAAACTTCTAAGGGAATCACTGCATTTGCTCTATGATTTGTGCTGTCTTTAAGGAGACAATTTAACCAAGTATTTCCCTGCTTTTGTTTTAAGCTTCTATTATTTATCTCTAACACCCACCCACAGCACTTTTAATTCATTTGTGGATGAAACAGCCCTCTAAATACTAAACCTGAGGAAGTGTATAACAATAATATTATAGATACATTCAGGAGAACTGTAGTCAGGTGAGATATTAAATCATCCTTTTCCTTTACTTTTAGCCATAATTTCACAGTTGAAATATCTGAATAGTGTCTATAAAACAAAGTGTGTAACAGAATCCTGATTTTTATTTTAAATTATAAAGAGGCTTTTTAGAACTGAATGCCTAGAAAGTGTTGTGTTAATTTTTCTCTTCCCAGCTTCCCCCACTATGCTGTCCCCAAATTACACTTTATCTCAACGGAATTATTCAACCTTTTGTCTCTTAACTGAGGCAGTCAATGAGGCAGTCAAGTCAGAAAAGTCCAGCTGAGAAGGCCAATAATCCCATGTGATGGTAATTAACATTGAGTGGCCTCTGCTAATGTGCTAGAAGACAGTAAGAATCTGCTCATTGGGCCTTCATCCTTAATGAGGCAGAGGACGGGCTTCCATAAGGGCTAAATAATTTGTTGGAAACAAAAGGAATGGGACGAATCTTGAAATGTCATTTTCAGAGCACATCTGGCTGAGGTAAGAAATTAGGTTCTTTACAAGTCCTTAGCCTCGCTTCATCAAGATTGAGCTCTAGAGGTTTCGTAGATGAGGACCTACACAGTCAACCAGAGTTAAGTGACTTGCCCAAGGTCACCCAGAGAGTTAGAGAATGTACCAAAATTAGAATTCATAGTCTTTGTGTTTCTAGTTCATTGGCTGCTGCACTGGAATAAAAAAGAAGCCCCAGAGCCATTCTTTTTTGACTTATAGATGTTGAGCAGGTAACAGGCTCAGAATCTAAAAGAATCTGTTTGAAACTTAAAATTTAAACACATAGCCCACAGCTATAGTACTGGTTGACAGAATGAAATGTTCTCTGTGATCATAACTTCCGGCCAGCATTAGCTAAAAAGAAAAGAAGGAGGCTGGGCACCTCCTTCTTTACGTGGCTTATGCCTGTAATCACAGCACTCTGAGAGGCCAAGGTAGGCAGATCTCGAAGTCAGGAGTTTGAGACCAGCCTGGCCAACATGGCAAAACCCTGTCTCTACTAAAAATACAAAAATTAGTCTGGCATGGTGGCAGGTGCCTGTAATCCCAGCTATTCAGGAGCCTGAGGCAGGAGAATTGCTTAAACCCAGGAGGTGGAGGTTGCAGGGAGCCAAGACCGTGCCATTGCACTCCAGCCTGGGTGACAAGAGCAAGACTCCATCTCAAAAAAAAAAAAGAGGGAAATGGTGTGGGCCTAGAAATCATTACATGTACATACAAGGCTAGCTATTATCACTCATCTAGTTTATTCAGTGTTCAATATTTCATTCAAAACTATTATTTGCTCACTTACCACAAACCAAGCACTGTATTAGACAGTGCGGTTATAAGAGTGAATAAGAGAGATATTTGGCCCCTGTATGCATTGAGGTAGAGTCTTACAGCAATCATCAAATAAGCAACCCTCTCCCAAATACAGTCAGGTTCTAATCCTCTAGGACATGCCTCTTACCCCATTATTTGTGGGCCATTCTTCCCACTCAAATCCACAAAAAGAGAAACAAAAGCACAGGTGCTTCAGACTTCCCTGGCCTTTGACATTTCTTGTATGATAGCTAAGGAACAACTGACGCACATTGTATCTCTGTAGGGAACTCATATAGACAGTAGTCCCCCCCATCTGTGGTTTTGCTTTCCAAGGGCTCGGTTATCTGCTGTACAGTACAATGAAATATTTTGAAAGAGAGAGAGAAAGAGAGACCACATTCACATGACTTTTATTACAGTATATTGTTATAATTGCTCTATTTTACTGTAAGCTGTTGTTAGTCTCTTACTGTGTCTAATTTATAAAGTGAACTTTATCATATGTATGTACATGTAGGAAAAACATTATATTTATAGGGTTTGGTACTAGCAGCAGTTTCAGGCATTAACTGGGGGTCTTAAAACATATCCCCTCGATGGGCCGGACACAGTGGCTCACACCTGTAATCCCAGCACTTTGGGAGGCCGAGGCAGGCAGATCATGAGGTCAGGAATTTAAGACCAGCCTGACAAAACATGGTAAAACCCCATTTCTATTACAAATACAAAAATTAGCCAGACATCGTGGCACATGCCTATAGTCCCAGCTACTCAGCAAGCTGAGGCAGGAGAATCGCTTGAACCTGGGAAGCAGAGGTTGCAGTGAGCCGAGATCGCACCACTGCACTCCAGCCCGGGTGACAGAGCGACAGAGGGAGACTTCGTCTCAAAACAAACAAGGATGGGGGGAAACCACTGAATTTTTATTAAGTGCCTAAAACATCCTTCTTTAATTTATGTAATTTATATTACCCCCTTCTCTTTCTAGTCCCTCCTGATAGAATACTTTTCTCAGATCCCCTTTCTTGACTACTATTAAGACCCTAGAAAGTAGCTAGCAAGTGACACAAGGAATCCAAACACTCAAAGTCCACATCACCTAGTTTCCACTTTTACATTGTCCAGGGTAGCTCCCTGTGCTCTCAGTTCAGGTTAGATGCTTTCTTATTTGGATATATCCTAACATCTGTAGATAACTCTCCAGGCCTGAGGGGCTGTCAACAATTCTGGGATTTTCGTATTTCTGGTGTTTCTTGAAGCAAATTGGTCCAGTAACATAGATTCCTCCATCATGGTTAATTAATTTTTTCTGGCCTTTATTGCTAATATCTTGCTGGATTTCCACTGATACAAAGACAGCTCAAGATAGACCCTGAAATTTACTGTGCTCCTGAAATTCCATTTTGTATCTAGGAAAACCTAAAATCCTTCATTCCTCTAGACTTCAATTTAAGAAAGTTCTTCGCAGGGGACTGTAAAGGGACATACATAGAGCTATGTCAGCAAGTACCAGGGCACTGCTCCGCTGGCAACATGAAAATGTAAGCAATAGGCCATAAACCTATAGACAGAAACTAGCACTATGTCAAGGAGCCAAGGACTACAGGGCTCTTGACTGAAGCAGGAGAGGGCAATTAAGACTTCTTACTCCTCATCCTGAAGGGTCTCCTCCTCCTCTTGGATCTGTAACTGGTTCTTCACGGGAGCTAGGTTTTCGGTCTTGGCGTTGTAGTTCCGAAAGCAGACATTGAGCTTCTCATCAAATTCATTCACGAGGTCCTCCATGGACTTGAAGCTGATTATTTCAGAAGAAAAATTCTCAAGCTCAGAGAGGGAGGGGTCCTCGAGATGGTGGGGAGATGAACCGTAGAAACACCGGGGCTTCTCCTCTGGGTCCTCCGAGCAGCAGGGTCGAAGGTCCTCAAACTCTTCATCCAGACTCACCAGTGGGGCCTCCATTCTTGCTCAACAGAAGAACAATGGCAACTTTCAGGATGCGTTTATCTAAAAGAAATAAACAGCGTAATGTGAGTTTAGACCAGGAGTTAACTTTGGAGACACACCTGCTTCCAATTCCCTATTCCAAAAGATGAGGCAGTGGTTAAGTATGAAGCTCCTGGACCACACCTAGATCTAGGTTTGCATTCTCTAACTGCTCTGTGCTGCGTATTCTTCTCAAGACAGATATAATACTCAACTCACCTCAAAGGGCTGCTAGAAGACTAAAGGAGTAAACACAGGTGAGTGCTTAAAACAGTGCCTGGAAGATAATAAATGCCAATATTGTTGAATACTTTCTGTTGGTATTTTAGTAGTATTATTACTGTTACTATTACCATAGATCCACAGCCTTAACTATGTGACCTAAAAGCTAAAAATTCTCTGTGACTTGTTTGGTGGCAAAACGTGACATGATCTAAACTCATCTGGCAACTAAACCTGACCAACATGAATAGAAAGCTGCTCATGGCTTCAGTGTATCCCGTTTTGTGTGTTTGGCTGCAGAAATGTTAACTTTTTAATTATAAAGATTGCTATCCCAGATCCCACTGGATGAAATGCAGAATATGCATTTTATTACTACCTTCCAAAATCTGAAATAATCTGAATTCTAAAACATGCCTGGCCCCAAGAGTTTTGGATAAGGGTTCATGTAACTAGATATTACTACCCTCATCAATAAATAATAAGAACTAATAAAACACTGGCTGGATGTGGTGGCTCATGCCTATAATTCCAGCACTTTGGAAGGCTGAGGCAGAAGGATCATTTGAGTTCCCTCAGGAGTTCAAGACCAACATAATGAGGCCCCATCTCTATCTTTTATTTAAAAAAAAAAACTAATAAAACATCAATACTTTCCAACAAGCGCCTGAGTTGTTTTTATTTTGTTTTGTTTTGTTTTATTTTTGAGACATAACTTCATTCTGTCGCCCAGGCTGGTGTGCAGTGGTGCAATCTCAACTCACTGCAACCTACATTTCAGGCGGGGTTCAAGCGATCCTTGAGCCTCAGCCTCCCAATTATAGGCATGTGCCATCACACCTGGCTAATTTTTGTATTATTAGTAGAGATAGGGTTTGACTGTATTGCCCAAGCTGGTCCCGAACTCCTGAGCTCAGCTGATCTACCTGCCTCAGCCTCCCAAAATGCTGGGATTACAGGTATGAGCCACCGTGCCCTGACAAGCACCTGAGGTTTTCGCACCCATAGAGCATACACCTAGGAGCAGAGGAATAAACAAAATGATCTATTGTCCTGTATTCTATAAGAAACACACCAAATTACCTATGTGCTCCAAAGCCATACTCCATAATCATCTTGGGCACTGCACCCTGGGACACTGCACATGCAAACTTCCCTTCAGTTCCCACCAACTGTGGGACCACTACCCCTCATCGGGCCCTCTTCATACACTGCTTCCAACTGTGATTTATCCATCTGTGTGTACATCTGGGCCCCATTCAATTTTAACCTAAATTCTTCGAGGACACAGAAATCCTCTGGATATCTTCCCTGGCTCCAAACATACACTGCCTACCCTGTGGCTAGGCAGTCAATCAATGTGTGCTCATTGAAAAAATGATCTATCCCCCACACACAGTTTTCCATTTTCAATTTCAGGCAGCACGAGCATTGCTGACTATCATACCCTTCTCTACATGCTCAGCTTCATTCTCTATGACACAGAAAGACAAGCAAACTTTTCTCTCCTGTTTATACAGCTATTGATACAGTCAGGTGCTTAAACTGGAGCTGCGTTCTGAGGACAAACAGACAGCAAAATTCCTGGATTTTGCCCTAGGAGTGCCTATTTTTCATCTCCACCTACAAAACTAAAACTCTAAATAGGCAAGGCAAAGGACATGCCAGGCAAGGACACTGACAGTTTGTACGGGGATTTTACTGGAATTAAGTCGGTGACCATTGCTTTAAAACATATTCAGAGCATTTCCAGTTTGCAAAGGCAACATGACACGACCTTGGAATACAAAAATATATACAAGTAATACCATTTCTTGGAAAGAACATAGGCTCAAGAGCCAACAGATCTGCCAATGGCTGGCTGAGTGACAAGCATCGTCGGTCCTGATTTCCTCATTTGTTATAAGAAAGGTGTTGGTACAGAGTTAACATCTTCATGAGTTAATTTTAATAAATCAATAATTTAATTAATCATTTTATTGAAATAATATGTTTATTTAATCCAATATATCCAAAGTGTTACCATTTCAAAATGCAATCCACAAAAAAAACTAATGAGGCATTTTTTAATTCTTTTTTTTCTTCAAAGAAGTCCTTTGAAATCCAGGGTATATTTTCCATTTACAATACATCTCACTCTGGACTAGCCACATTTCAAGTGCTCAACAGCCAAATGTGGCTTGTGGCTACCGCAATGGACAGCACAGCTCTAAAGCAAACACAACTAATTGCCACAGGGTTCTTCATCTTCAGTACATAGACCCCTGCCGGCTCTTGGAAGGTAACTATATTTCAGTGAAATTGGTTTCCTTTGCAAGACTAAGTATTTTATTTTACGCATTTAAAAACATTACTTGGAGAAGAAGCCCATAGGCTTCTCCATACCACCAAAGGTGTTCATAGTGCAAAAAAGATTAAGAATCCCTGAGCAACAAAATGGTGAGATTAGAAAAGACGGCAGAATGCATTAGAGAGTCAAAAAGGTTTTACAGCCCAGGGATTTGTGTTGATTAGGGCAGTACACTGTGATGGCTAAGAGCATAAGTTTCAGGTTCCTGTCCTGGTCCTATCACTCCTAGAGGGGAGACGTTGGGCAAATTATCAGCCTCACTATGCCTCAATTTCATCATCTATAAATTGGAGTTTAAAACAGTGCTTCCCTTGAAGATTATTTTTTGGACTAAATGAGATAATCTTTGAAGTGCTAAGTACAATGTGTGAAATATAAAAAGCATCCAATAAAAATCAATCATTCTAGGAAAATCAAAGCTGGGCATGCTGGCTCATACCTGTAATTTCAGCAACTGGAGAGGCTGAGGCAGGAGGACTGCTTGAGCCCATGAGTTTGAGACTATAGTGAGCTATGATCACACCATTGTTTGCCAGCCTGGGTGACAAAGTGAGACCCTACCTCAAAAAAAAAAAAAAAAAAAAGCTTGGTGTGGTAGCTCACAGCTGTAATCTCAGCACTTTGGGAGGCCGAGGTGGCTGGATCATGAGGTCAGGAGTTTGAGACCAGCCTGGCCAACATGGTGGAACGCTGTCTCTACTAAAAATACAAAACTTATCTGGGCGTGGTGCTGGGCATCTGTAATCCCAGCTACTCAGGAGGCTGAGGCAGGAGAATCTCTTGAACCCAGGAGGCAGAGTTTGCAGTAAGCTGAGACCACACCATTGCACTCTAGCCTGGGCAACAGAGTAAGACTCTGTCTCAAAAAAAAAAAAAGTAAAAAATTCTAGGAAAACCAGGATAGCTTACTTACATAGAAATGTGATGTGGGGCCAGGCATGGTCGCTCACACCTATAATCCCAGCACTTTGGGAGGCAAGTGGATCACCTGAGTTTAGGAGTTCGAGACTAGCCTGACCAGCATGAAGAAACCCCATCTCTACTAAAAAATACAAAATTGGCCAGGCATGGTGGCACATGCCTGTAATCCCAGCTACTCAGAAAGCTGAGACAGGAGAATCACTTGAACCCTGGCGGCAGAGGTTGTGGTGAGCCCAGATCGAGCCACTGCACTTCAGCCTGGGCAACAAGAGCAAAACTCCATCTCAAAAAAAAGAAAAAGAAAATAAATGTGATGTGGGAGTGCTTCTAGAAAAATTATCTCTGCCATGATATCCTCTGTGCAGTGCCTCAATATGCTTATCAAATGAGGGAGCTATTGCTGAAAGAATTTTGGCATCTTTTTTACTAAGATTTTCTTACAATTCATTTGTGCAAAGGTTCCTGGATCATGGGTCACATTGACAGAAATACGAAACCTAATCTGATAGTGTGGCAGGTATTTACTCTGCCTTTAAATTTGTATTTTTCTCTGGGAATGACAGGAGAGAACCAGATGGTGACACCAGTGGGGTTTCTGATTGGAAATGACACAGTCTATACAATTAATCAGAAACAAGAGGCCAATCCAACTAGGATCTAGGACTAAGGTTGAGTTTTGAGTGTTGGCAACAGAAAGAGTGTGCTGAAAGCACCTATCCTCAGCCCAGGCAGATTGTAGAGAAAATGGATTCATCTAGAAAATTATAAAAGACAAAATGAATATCACAGCTCTAGGGTTCAGACACATGCTCATTTGAAACAGCCATAATATAGACTGGTTACTTTTTGCCAACTCATTACCCAGGAGCCCGGAAGTGCTGCATGAATGACCAGCTGGAGATGAAGTTAAGTGAAAGCCAGTGCTGGGAAACTAAAGTCACTCAACACCCAAACTGAACCCAGCATTTGTGGAAAGACCCCAGGCTGTGACACAGATGAGAGTCAGGCGTTCTGACTGGCCCTACTGTAGCCTCCAGGAGGGCTCTGTGGGATGGGACTGGCAGCGTGTCCTTAGATGGTGACCCTGTCTTCCTTCCTTCAGCCCGCTTTCTTTCGCCCTCCTCTCTTCACGAGTGCTTTCATCCTTCAACTAAAATGTCTGAAACAACCTTACCTTCCATCATGACAAGCTTGCCCCCGTCCTCATTCATAGCTCATCTGGGAGCCCTCCTTTCCTTAAAGTAGGATTAATACAAATGATAGCTTATTCCCTTGAGACTTCCATGATCAAAAATAAATACATACATATACGAAAATGGCAGAAAGAAGGAACCTTGGGAGGGTCGCCTTTTCTTTTTCTCTTTACCACAGAAAAGAGAGCAGCACTATAGTTGGATTGTCCTACAATGTGTTCCATTTATGTTCACTCCCAATCGATGGTGTGATTTGGAAAAGAAAAGACACTCACGGGGCTTAACAGAGACTCAGTAGGAAGCGCATAAACGTCTCCCTGCAGCATAATGATACACTCGCTGCGGCTCGGGGCTGCGGTACAAATGCTCACTCCTTGCTTTGCTGAGCTGAGCCGAGTGGAGCGGAGCGGTGATTTCACCACGCTAACCCGGCTGGGCCTCGGCACCTCCACACAAGCCCCACTCCATTTCCTTCTTCCCATCACTTGCTCCATAGATCAATTGATTCCATGCCTCGTACCCCATATCCATCCCTGTAACCTTCCCTGTACTGATCCACCTGCAGACTTCCCACTGCTCCTCCGCAGAAACCAGCCAGTGTGCGTGTTTGTACCAATGCACATTTTGACAGAAAGAGTATTTCGTTGCATGTGGATCAGCAACCCCTTCGCGTTCTGCTTGCTCCCCTCCCCCTCTCCCCGCTGCTCCATTCACCTCCATCTCAGATCCCCCTCCTTCCCCGGTCTGGTGGGGTAAAGAAAGGCTCCTCCAGGCAGCACAATGGCTGGCGCTCCGAGGAAGCCGGGCTCATCCCGTGCAGGCCGCACACACACTAAACTGCCCTTCTGGCCAAACAAGCCCGGACGCCGGAGAGGGATGAGAGTCGGGGGACCCAGGGTCGGGGAGGGAAGGGATAGGCAAAAGGAAAGAAGGGGCTGTGATACCCCTCGGCGCTGTCAAACACTGCTCCTCGCGCTCCAGAGCCTGGAGCCCACCCGACGGCAGCGTGCCCCGCCACCGCTCCGCCGCCCGGGTCCCTTCTCCCACCGGTCAATAGTAAAACAATCGCTCCCCCGGCGTCTGCGGCCGCTGCCAGCGGTTCTGACACTGCAGGAATGCGCTGTCTGGGGAAGGCTCCGCACTCTGGGGAGGGGCACAAGCGGGTCGGAGCTAAGTTCTTAGGGACAAAGAAGATCTTGGGGCGTTTACGGCGACTGGACCAGATAACGGTTCCGGGACTAGGCACCTACCCACTGCCCCAGCGCGATCGGGCGGGCGGCGTTCCCACCCTCTCCCAGCCCCCATACCGCGCCGCCTGCCTTCACACACGCGGAGGCACACACACACGGGCACACACACGCGCGCGCTCACACACACATTCCAGGCCTGGCTGGAGGACCGATGCTAAGATAATACTGGAAGTGCCCATCATCCCACATCTCCCGGGCCTGGCGAAGCGTCCCAGCTGCGCTCCCTAAAGGGTTGGGCAGGAGGGCGGCGGCCTCCGGTTGTTCCTTTCCAATCCCAGGATGGGACGGGGTGGGGGGCGCTGCGGCGACCCCAGACCGTCCTGTTGGAGAATCTCCAGGCCTCCTTACCACCCCCACCAGACCCCACCACCAGCAGTGGGTCGGGTCCTAACTAAAGTCGCCCCCCGCGACGGCACCTGTGCGGGTCCTGGCGGAGGGAGGCGGATCCCGGGGCTCAGCCGGACACCCCCATCCACGGGCTGCGGGAGCGGCCGGAGCGCAGCGCAGCGCAGCGGAGAGCCAGCCAGCCAGCTAGCGCTCCCCCCGCAGCTCCGGCGGCGCCCGGCTCCGCTCCCGCCTCCACCCCACCCCCTCCCGAGCTCGTGCACGGGCTCCGGGGGCGCGCCCGCGCTCGGGCACCCACCCAACTGGCACGCGCGGGAGCTGGACGTCATCCTCTCGTTAACATTCATAGCCTTCCTCCGAGCACGTGGACCTACCTTTATTAATATTTATGAATTACTGTTTCTCCCCTCTTTAACATTGACTTTTCTGCTTCCCTCATGAATATTCAAAAGCTCCTACATGAGCGCGTGCAGTAACTACCAATATGGATACCTCACAGGGCCTGACGCTGGCCTCTGGATAAAATTCAGGCGATGGCTGCGGGCGGATGCTGGTGGACACACTCAAAGACCCTCTTGGACTTTCTGGGCTTCCCATTCTCCTCTACTGGAGGCTGAAGAGGGCAGGCCCAGCGACGTCTCCCAGCCCTAGCTGGGTTCAGACCTCAAGCCAGAGGTGAGGAGGCCGGCAGGAGAGTTTTACTCCCCCAAAGAGTCGGGACGGGAGCCGGATCCAGCTGAAAAATCTGAGTGAGAAGGTTTCAGGCCCAGGAGGACTTGAGATAATACAGGAACTTCAAGAGGCTGAAATAAGGAAGGTCCCTGGGGTCTTGTGAAAAATTATTCATTTATCTTGTCTACTGTATATAGAGGCCTGTGTTTATAGAAGCTGTCAATAAAAAGTCTAATAAATTCATGAATACACAACTAAGAGCACAAGAATTGTAATTATTGAAGGAAGGCACTGGGAAAAGCATGTCGGCTTGGAGAACCCCAACTACTTTTGCCTGATGGCAAAGTACCTCTGGGCTGAACGGAAGTCTTCAACTGGAAGGGACAGGGAGCTTCTCTTTTGCTTATTTATGCGTTCATTCCACAGACATTTCAACCATGACAATGATGGAAACAGGAATAATGTCCCAATGAGATAAGAAGCAGCATTGGTCTCTTTGTCTTTAGGGGAGTAATAACCAGAGGATATCTTCCTGTAAGAAATCATAAGACCAGACACGGTGGCTCACACCTGTAATCCCAACATTTTGGGAAGCTGAGGTAGGAGGATCACTTGAGGCCAGGAGTTCAACACCAGCCTAGGCAAAATAGTGAGACCCCATCTCCACACACACACAAATTAGCCAGGCATGGTGGCTCATGCTGGTAGTCCCAGCTACTCTGGAGGATGAGGTGGGAGGATCACTTGAGCCCAAGAGGCTGAAGCTGTGGTACAGTGGCGATTGAACCACTGTGCTCCAGCCTGGCTGGCAGCAAGACATTGTCTCAAAAATCAATCAGTCAATCACAAAGAGTAGCTTGTTAAAATATCCCTAAATCTCCTTTCCCGGGATCATACCCAGTTCTGTGACCTTGGGCGAGCTAACTTCCCTGTGGCTCATTTCCTCATCTGTAAAATAGTGCCCATTCGTGAGGCCTGTTGTGGGATTAAAGGAGTGAATATAAGTAAAGTACTTCCAGGCATATATATACATATATATATAATACACACACACACACACACACACAGTGCCTTCTTATATACCTGGAAGTACTTTACTTATATTCACTCCATATATACATATATATATATGTGTGTGTGTGTGTATTATGTATATCTGTGTATATATATATGAGCCAAGATTATATATATATGCTAATTAGAGACCATCTTTTGTCTAGATCTTCAGAGCATGAAACAAACAGGTTTGAGAGAAGCTTGTAAAGTATTGAAAGTGATAAAGAACTTGGTCTTGAGCTGGTGACCTTGTTAGTTATCCTCTCTGAGCCTCAGTTTTCTCATCTTGTAAAACAGAGATGCCAATATCTACTATAAAGTTGTTGTTAGGCATACTAAGTAATATAATGCATGCAAAATGCTTAGCACAGTGCCTGGCATATCATAAGTAACAAATCAGTGGATTCTGTGGTTATTTTTGTGAGGCTATGAAGAACCTGAAAGCTGAGGACAGGTAGGCTAGGTACCTGGGATGAGAAATCTCTGAACATGAGCCCAGTTATTCTTCCAGCAAACACTTATTTTATTGTAGTAAGATATATATAACATAAAAATTACCACTTTAACCTTTTGTAAGTGTACAATTCACTGGTATTAAATGCATTCACATTGAGGTGTAACCACCACCACTATTCATCTACACAAATTTTGTCATCCAAACAGAAACTCTGTATCCATTAAACACTAACTCCCGAGTCCTGAGTACTCCCTTCTCCAGCCCCTGGTAAGCACTATTCTAACTTTATCTCTAAAAATTTGACTATTCTAGGTACCTCATATAAGTGGAATCATACAATATTTAGTTTTTGTATCTGACTTATTTCACTTAGCATGTTTTCAAGGTTCATCTATGTTGCAGCAATGTCAGAATTTCCTTTCTTTTTAAGGTTGAATAATATTCTGAGGTATGTATATACTACATTTTGTTTATCCATCTGTCCATGGACATTTGGATTGTTTCCACCTTTTGGCTGTTGTGAATAATGCTACTAATCTGTCAGGAGATTAGAGTGAGAAAGAAAGAATTAAAAAATAGGCCGGGCGTGGTGGCTCACGCCTATAATCCCAGCACTTTGGGAGGCCGAGGCGGGTGGATCATAAGGTCAAGAGATTGAGACCATCCTGGTCAACATGGTGAAACCCCATCTCTACTAAAAATACAAAAATTAGCTGGGCATGGTGACACGCACCTGTAGTCCCAGCTACTCGGGAGGCTGAGGCAGGAAAATTGCTTGAACCCAGGAGGCGGAGGTTGCAGTGAGCCAAGATTGCGCCATTGCACTCCAGCCTGGGTAACAAGAGCAAAACACTTGAACACTGGTATACAAATTCCAGCAAACATTGGTTGCATTCTGGGACCTAGGCTAGAAGCTGGGGAACTAAAAGTGAAGGCATGCCTTCAAGATGTTCCATGTTTAGTATGTGGATTTCCAAACTCTGCTGCTTGGAACCTGTAGTGGATTGAATGCTGTCTACTTAGAACCTCAGACTGTGACCTTTACAGCTGTAATTAGTTACGATGAGGTCATACTAGATTAGGGTAGGCCCTAAATCCAATGACTGGTGTCCTTATAAGAAGAGGAGAGGAGGCTGGGCGTGGTGGCTCATGCCTGTAATCACAGCACTTTGGGAGGCAAGTAGATCACCTGTGGTCGAGAGTTCAAGACCAGCCTGGCCAACACGGCAAAAACCCAACTCTATAAAAAACACACACAAAAAAAATTAGCAGGGTGTGGTGGCACAAACCTGTAATCCCAGCCACTTGAGAGGTTGAGGCTGGAGAATCGCTTGAACCTGGGAGGTGGAGGTTGCAGTGAGCTGAGATCATGCCACTGCACTCAAGACTGGGTGACAAAGCAAGAATATGTCTCAAAAACAAATAAACAAAACATAAAAAAAGAGGGGAGCATGCACAGGAAAGGAGGCAGAGATTGGAGTAACGCAGGTACAAGCCAAAGGACACCAAGGATTGCCGGGAGCCACCCAAAGCTAGAATGAGGCAAGGAAATATTCTTCCCCTAGGACCTTCAGTAGGTAGTATGGCCCTGCTGACAGCTTGACTTTTTTTTTTTTTTTAGATGGAGTTTCACTCTTGCTGCCCAAGCTGGAGTGCAGTGGGGTGATCTCGGCTCACCACAGCCTCCACCACCAGGGTTCAAGCAATTCTCCTGCCTCAGCCTCCCAAGCAGCTGGGATCACAGGCGTGTGCCACCAAGCCTAGCTAATTTTGTATTTTTAGTAGAGATGGGGATGGGGTTTCTCCATGTTGGTCATGGCTGGTCTTGAACTCCTGACCTCAGGTGATCCACCTGCTTCAGACTCCCAAAGTGTTGGGATTACAGGCATGAGCCACCGCACCTGGCCTGCTTTTAAACTTGGAAACTAGTACAAATTTTGGTAGTAGAAAGTGGGGTGCTGCTGTAACAAATACTTAAAAATCTGAAAGTGGCTTTGGAATACAGTAATGGAAAGAGTCTGGAAGAATTTTGAGACACATGACAGAAAAAGCCTGTATTGCCCTGAAGAGACTGTTGGTAGAATTATAATATTAAGGCCAATTCTGTGAGGGCTCGGAAATGAGGAGACTGTAGGGAAAGTTTCTATGTTTATATGGTATACATATATTATCATAACAAAATAGAAACATGAATGCTAAAGGTGATTCTGGTAAGGTCTAAGATGGAAATGAGAACCTGTTGTTAGAAACTGAACAAAAGACAAACTTTGAACAAAGACGATTCTTTGAAGCAATGAACTTGTATATTTAGCTGAGATTTCTAGGCAAAGTGTAGGAGATTTGGCCAAGTTTCTCTTTGCTGCTTATAGTAAAATACAAGGAGGAATGATAGTATGGATCCCTTTCACTCCCAAGTAGCAAGTTACATAGGAGACCAACATGATTTCTGAGAATTTTATACCAACAGAAACACTGTCAGCCTGGAATGAGAAGGACAGAGATAAAATGAAGGACAACTCTTAGACCTCTGAAATTCTACAGGCAGAAAATAGGCTGATGCATGTTCTTGGCAGCAAACACGGGTTATCATTCAAGAAAAAGACAGAATGACTCTTAGGATGGGGCCCACTGCCCTGGATCCAGCAGATGGAGTGTTGAACCACAACGGATTATTCTCAGGCCTTAAAACCTAATGGAACTTACCCTGTGGTTTTACAAACTTGCTTTAGACTAATGACCTCCACGTTTTCCCTCCATTTTCTCTCTTTCAAAAATGTTTAAAACTTTTTTTTTTAAGAGATGGGGCCCGTGGTGGTCTCAAACTCTTGGCCTCAAGGGACCCTCCTACCTCAGCCTCCTAAAGGGCTAAGATTATAAGCATAAGCCACTGTGCCCAGCCCTCATTTTGTCCCTTTTGCAAGGGAAATGTCTATCCAATGTCTGCTCTACCACTGTATTTTGGAAACAGATCACTTGATTTCTAATTTCATAGGTCCACAAAGGGAGAAGAATTTTGCCCCAGAACCTATCACACCTAGAGTTTCACCCATACCTGATTTAGATGATGAGATTTGGAACTTTAAAAGTTTATATTTGTAATAGATGAAATTTGGATTTAGAGCTAATGCTGGATGGGTTAAACAGGATGTTGGAATGGGGCCACTAGGTGGCGCACGCCAGTAATCCCAACACTGTGGGAGGCCAAGGCGGGCAGATCACTTGAGATCAGGAGTTCGAGACCAGCTTGGCCAATATGGTGAAACCTTGTCTCCAACAAAAATATAAAAAATTAGCTGGGTGTGGTGGTACACACCTGTAATACAAGCTACTTGAGAGGCCAAGGCAGGAGAATTGCTTGAAATTGGAAGGCAGAGGTTGTGGTGAGCCAAGATCGTGCCACTCCACTCTAGCCTGGATAACAGAGTAAGACTCCTGTCTAAAAAAAAAAAGAATATTGGGATGGGATTAATATATTTTGCATGAGGAGTAGACATGAATTTGGGGGGAGTCACAGGGTAGACTGTAGTGGGTTGGATAATGTTCCCCCAAAATACATGTCCACCCCAAACTTCAGACTGAATATGACTTTATTTGGAAATAGGGCCTTTGCAGATATAGAGTTAAAATGAGATCATACTAGATTAGGGTGGTCCTAAAATCTAATGACTTGGTGTCTTTTTTCCTTTTTTCTTTGAGACAGAGTTTCGCTCTTATTGCCCAGGCTGGAGTGCAATGGCCCGATCTCGGCTCACCACAACCTCTGCCTCCCAGGTTCAAGCGATTCTCCTGCCTCAGCCTCCCAAGTAGCTGGGGTTACAGGCATGCACCACCACACCTGGCTAATTTTGTATTTTTAGTAGAAACAGGATTTCTCCATGTTAGTCAGGCTGATCTCGAACCCCCAACCTCAGGTGATCTGCCCTCTTCAGCCTCTCACAGCGTTGGAATTATAGGTGTGAGCCACTGCACCTGGTCAACTTGGTGTCATTTTTTAAGGCAGTCCTAAAAAAACTAGTACAGAACCCTAGAAAGAGTTAAGGGTATAATTCAATATTCAACATACTTTAATACCTCCTGTGTACAAAGCACTGTGCAAAAATTAAGGATGCAGCAATGAAGAAAATAATTCATGTCAAGCACTGGCACATGACCTAGCATA